TTCTTCAATTCTTTTGTGTTTGAATGAATAGATCATATTTAGCGCATTTCAGGGAACGAAGCAAGTTGTGAACATGGGGAAAAAACGAGGAATGTTGAGAGAGGGGTTTCGAACACAGCGTGCGGTTATGCATTTTAAAACACGCAGTAATCTTTTGCAGAATCACCTCGATTTGTTATTTTTCGAGCGCATACACTTACTGAGACCACTTCAAAATCACTCACACATATGTTCACGAGCTGTCATATGTCAATATACGTATATACGATGTCTACATACGCGTACTTTGTGCGTATGCCGTTATAGTATATTTGTATTGTATAATTTGCATCGCTAACTGTCTGTGAAACTCATTGACACAGGTGAGTGCGTCAAAAGTCTACAGAACAATACGGCCACTCAAATATTGGTATTGTGTGACGTAAAACGAACGAAGTTGCTTTTGAAGCAATCAGTATCATGGTATGGTGTTCCTGTTACGCATCAGCCTTACAAGCGTGTTATACTCGGACTCATAACCTTAAAGGCGTATCTTGCACAGCTGTACGCTGAGTGCGGATAATTTTGCATGCATTGCAAAGCATTGTTCGAGCGTTTGAGTGACGACACCTCATTTAAAGAGATACTTTAAGGCGTAAAAAAAGCCACCAGAGAACTACGAGCACGTTTCGTTTATAGCGTTCGAAACACATTGCTATGGCTCGCTATATCCAGCCCGGAATAGTATCTTTGCAACCAAAAAGTAAATACATAATTTTACAGGTGCGTGAGCAACATGAAAACAAGTGAACGGCTATTTCGCGATCCCATGATGCGCAAGAAATTTTTGTATGTGACAAAACATGCGCGATATAACCTTCGCTGCAAAACAACAAGCATGTGTCTGGAGGTGCAAGTTACTTCAATGAAGAAAAAAAAAGACCGTTCGCACGATTATAACTATCTCGTAGCGATTCCATTTGTTATTCAATCATGCTGCATAGCACTCCAAAGTATTACGCAGCAATTTATTAGAAATTGGCACCACGAGTGCAAGGTGGAACACGCAAAAAACGTCGGCACTGGCAAGAATGCCCGCACGGCATTACGGCACCTCAAACCGGAAATCGGTGCAGACGGCCGCTGTAGCCCACAATCCATTGCGTGAGCCACGATTTCTCTATCCACCTATTCTAACCGTGGTCCTACAGGATGCATGCACGGGCACACGGACAGATCGCCCCACTCATCATCATTCACTCCGTGAATATGCTACAATTTTTCATCTTTTTTTTAATTAGTGACTGCGATGGCGCTACTTATAGGCGTAAGCGTGAGCGCCCGCTGCTTCACACCTACATATAGCTCCCTTTAGCGAGAGCTGGCGTGATTTTTTTCTTTTTTATATTCTTATTCTCTTAGCCACAGTGCAGAGTAACAAACCAGACTCTACTCTGGTCAAGGGGACAGAATAAACAAAAATATTGAAAAAAAATTATTTTTTTTTTCTTTTTTACGTTGTTTGAAATATGCAGTCTTGTTGAAACCAGAATCATTCTTTTTTTTGCTAAGTGAATTCTTTTTCTCTAAAAATGTGATAATTCAAAATTTGTGAGGCGGCCTGCCATGCCCTTATCTTACGTAGCAAGTAATTCCTTGCTTTTCAAGCATCATAGGCGCATGGAGAGGTTAGAGTTCGCAAGCTGGAGTGCATGTTGGCACATTCAGAAAAGAATGGGCCAAAAACTGCGAAATTGAAAGAAAGCAGAGTCATCAAGCTTTCTGTGGGGAAATCTGTATCTATCCGGAGACATCTCTGGGGTGTCATCATTGGCAAGCACTAAAGCTAATATCGTTTGGCCATTAAAATAAATCAAGCCAGCTTGAAGGACATGCGAAAATCTGTTCGGGCAACATATTTTGACATGATATTCATTTCAAGGCCTCTGGGCAAATAACGTGGAAACATGGTGTAAATTCAACAAAGCCCAGTTAAGGGGTGAACCATTCGTTCATAAAGAACACCTTCCAGCATTTGTTATTGAGACTGCTAAGCCAAGTTATCCGGAACTAGCTAATCCAAAATTTCTTGATAAATGCGTCCACAAAACCCTAACGAGTCATCGAATGGTCATGTGAGAGCAGGCTCCGAAAAACACTTTTCTCGTACACCAAACACTGAAAACATGCTATCTTGATGCTGTGCTCACTTTTAATGATGGCGATATAGCCTGTGGGAATGTGCTGAACCCTTTTGGAAGTTCGCCACGGCACCGCATAGTGCAGGGCCTTCGCACCCTTCAGCTGCGCCGACAGTACTTTGCCGACAGGGCTGCTCAGAACCTTATGTGACAAAGGAGGCTCGCCAGGTGAGACGTTTAAACACACAAAATATTTATATTGGTGATAAGTATATGGCTTGTACCTACTGAACGGTCTTGTCGATTTTATGTTATCTCGTTGTGCTTTCGGGATAATCCACATTTTAAACTATAAATGCCATGATCTCAAAATACACTTTTTTGTACTTAAGTTCCTTTATCTGAAGAACCTTATATGGAATCATAGATTTCAGCCAGTATTTAGATAAGGTAATAGGCAGTATGCTGAAACAGAATTATTGATGTGTGAGGAAGTGCTTTTTTTTCAACGCGATATTTAATTGCTATTATCGAGCAATAATTAGTTACCTGAAGTAAGAAAAATTACAAACATTAGCGTCACAATTTAAAGCGCTAAATATCATTCAGTAAAAAGAATGGCTTATGAACACGATGTTAGTAAAATAATTACTGTAACACTTACGGAATGTACGCTAACTTTGCCTAAAATACATGAAGGGTATAAGGCTTACCCTGTTCCCCTAACAACCCTGTCTTTCCTCTTCTTGTTTTCTCCCTCTATTGAAGCCCATCAATGAAAAAATAAAATAGCAGCGTGCAGGAAAGTCAACCCACGGATGGAGAACACAAAAGGGAGAGAGCAGCATCTGAGAAGGTTGGGTTATCAACGCTGGGCGCGCGCTCATCAATTATGTTTTTGTTTACGAGCCCACAATAAAGGAAATAAAACAGGAGCATCACGGGAAATAAAACCTAGAAGCAGACCCGTAGCCACAATTTTTTTTTCAGAAGTAGGGGGGGGGGGAGGCTCGTTGAAGGCCTCAAAAAACACCTCCTCAGTGAAACACCCCTTCAATCTTAATTTCGTGGGGAAGAAGGAAGGCTGGGCTCCTGGCCTCACCGCTCCCCTGTCTACGGGCCCACCTGCAAGCGCAAACGTGGCCGTGTTCGTCTCTCTCTCTATTGTTTTTTTTAATAGCGGCAGATTGTAATTCAGTAAGCACAAACTCTATAGCCGGCGACTTCAACGTATACAGTATGGAACTTAGGGCCTAGATTTGTCGTTGACTCTTTTGTGTCACTTCATGTCATTTTGTGTCACTTTACGCCACTCGATTTACATTACATGGGGCAATGCTCGGCTAACATATGTCGGGCACTAAAAAAAAGGTTTCACAGTACACTACAATCAGTCAAATTGTGGCAGAACTATATAAAACAGCTACAAGTACAAACCCTTTTTTACTAGTCGGCGAGTTCAACGTAGACTGTATGGACATTAGTGCTTAGCTTCGCCCACTCGACAGCATTCACGTCGTGGAGATGCGTGAACTTTTTCATTATTTAACGTCCAATTTCCCCTTCCTCAATGAAGGATATCAAACCAGTGACTTCCTCCGCCTAACCTCCCAGTCCTACCTTCATATTTCGCTGTCTCTATTTGGCTGCGCTATGGTGAACGTTGCGTATACACAGGCAACATATACTATGGGACTTATGCCCTAAAATCAGACACCGCTGACCTTCGACTTCAAAAGCTAGGCGAATGATAAAGAGTGGTGGGCCGGTGGCATACATCTGCGGCAGCATACGCAGCCCCGATTGCTCACAATGCCAATGCCGCAAGCGCCACGGAAGAGTTTCAGCAGAGAGCAGAGAAGACAGATTTGCCAACACGTTCTAAAGACCATTTGAAAGTAGTAACAAGAAAGTCCAACTTTCCTAGCTACTATAGTATGGGCAGCTGTGATACTTCCGTTTGTATTTTAAAACGTATTAAATTCGAGGTAGCTCTTCGTCTAGCCTGTATAACATTGTCCGTCCGTGTCTCCGTGCCAACGCAACGCACCGCGTTCCACCCCACCACACTTGGAACGATGTAAAGTAGGTCAAGTCGCAGCTGCGCGTTGACGTCACTTTCTCCCTCACCCGCGAAAGCTGCCGGCTCCTCCCAACACACCTAGGTGGTGTAGCTCCTCCGCCCGCTCACGACACACTTCTCTCTCGCTTCCCCCTTTCCACCGCCCGCAACGCTCTACCCAACACCGATTAGCCGGTGTTGCTCTACCGCACGTCGAATTGAAACACTCTTTCGGCTTGTTTGTCTGCGATGAAGCTTACACGAAACCCAATCCGCCTCCCGTGTCTTTGCGTTTCAAAAAAATGTTTACTCGAGTAAAGGCTATACACCGAGTTTAATTTCAAACCGTTCTTCAAGCACCCGCGTCGACTGACGCCCGTTTCAGCTAGGTCAACGGCGTACGCACTGCTGTGGCTTCGCATCCCATCATGGTTCCCTTCGTGGAGATGGTCCATTGTTTTTTTATTTCTTTTCTTGCGCGAAACTTTATTCTCTGTAAATGTCATAAATGAATGTGGGTTTCCGGCGATGGACATCGGCTCAACCGACTGATGGTGCGAGCCCGGAGCACATATCTTTGTAATGAATGTCGAAAACACAATGGGCCGTCAATCTGTCTAAATGACGACAAGATGATAAGTTACAGTTCTTTGTTGCGTTTATCTCCGCTCTCTACAACCCTGAACATAGCTAAGTATAGCGTAACGCCAACAAGGTTTCCCTATACCTCCTAGCAATCCCGTCGATCTCACGTCATTGAGATGATAAGCAGTTGAAGCGTCATAAGGCATATATCTACCACTAACAATGGCCTTTAGCTTGTGAACGTCTCCAGCTGGCTTCGCTTATACGCGCCTCTCTCAAGAGGGCGTATATAAATTGCAGTGGCCACGGTAGCTATCAGCACACGCTCGCATAGATATTAGCAAAGTGCCCCCGTACCCTACTTTCTGTAACTTACCGATTCAGAACTTACCGTGAACCATGATTCGTTTTGTGGCTTGCCTTCTCCTATGTGGCTTGGCCGCTGCACAACGCAGGGACATTATCTACGAAGACTGCGGTAAGCTGTGGAATAAGACGTCGACATTTCCCCCTTAAGGAAAAAAAACGCCGTTTATTTTATAAAATACGGGTGGCAGCTGGAATACTTAATTAACAGCTCAACAGATTCGACATAATAAATCAATTGGATCTTGTTATAAAGTGTGCAACTAAAGGAGCTGAGGAGTTGATTAGTAAAGATTATCTGCAATTTTAGTGTGTTTCCCGTTCGCACTCTCTGCTTGCATTCCTAGCACATCCACTCCATTCGCAACATTCACGGAGTTAAAATCGGCTGCTGACCCTAATGTCGTTGATTCGATCTCAGCCGTGGCAGTTCAATTTCGATGGAAAGACCCATGTACTGAGTGATGTCAGGGCAGGTTAAAGAGCACCACATGACCTAACCTTTCGGAGCCTTCCACTTCGACTTGCCTGATAATCAACATCGTTGGTTAGGCATGTAAATCGTGGATTAGGCATGTAATTGTAATTTCTATTGCTAAAAGGTGATATTTCGAGTGATAAGAATATTGTCGCCAAGAGGAGTTCTGCAAACAACGCTGAATTAGTGTTCCCTCGTATTTCTTCATCTTTTTTTTTCGACAACGTTGAGTAGCCACGTGGTACGTATACATTGACTAGCCCCGCTGCCTTTACCGCTGTTTTTCCTCCCCCTACCGAAGCAGAACGTTTTATTAGGAAAGAAAGATAGAAATGATGGAAAGGCAGAGAGATTGACCGAAAGAGGAGCTGCTACTTTTCTACCTCTTTAGTGAAAAGGGAAACAGAGAAATGCCGAAGGAATTATTTGTTCCTCTAGTCGCTAACGAAATTTTGTCTTCTTCGATATACAAGCAAGAAAGAACAAGTTGAGCACGCGAGTACTGAGAATTTTTCGCTGTGCAGGAGCTTCCTGTTGAATTATTCTTCCAAGAGATTTCACAATAGGAACTTTTCATCTTTTCACGCGCGAAGAAAACGAAGTTCGGTGAAATCTACAGTCCCCAACTGTGAAGACCATATATAGAATCGTTATGTGTAATTCACGAAGTACGGTACATTCTGTCCTATTAAGAATCATGTAAACCAAAACATGTAGCTCATAGAGAAAAAGAACATTCTGCCATACATAACGCACAACGATATGCTTTTTGATATCACGCACACGATACACTGATTCCGCTGAACAAGGGCTGGGTTTGAGCTTGTTCGTTCTCTATGGTCAGCTTTTGCGCAAAGTTCTTGGATGAAGAACAAAACAGGCGTGGATGTCACGGTGTCTATTTCCCCCTTCGTCCAAGATATTTAGAGCAAGAAGTAGTTGATCCAACTCGGCTTATTGCTGCGGTGTCCACGGAAACGAGAATATCAATGACATTCATCTGCAATGCGTAAAGGGCGTAAATGGAAGAAATAAAGTATTAGAAAAAAATCTTGCAGCTACATACGTGCACCCATATACATGTCAATGAAGGGAGGGAATTTCCCTTGTTTAACTCATCCCCAATGAAAACCAGCAGATAATGAAGGGAAGGAAGGTATAGTGGAAAGATAATCATACTTATTTAAGCCTATATTGTAGGTGTTGTGATATGGGTGTGACCAGTAAAGTGCGAAGCAAGAGAACTTGCCACCAGCAAAGAACGAACCTGCAGTCTTCGGAAATATATATGTGTAGCTACGTGCGCTCGTAGATATATGTACGAGGCGATGTGTTTGTTCGTATACTGCGAGTACAACCTCGACGGAAACATGTGCTCACGAACGTTCTATAACAGAGTGAACTGCCGCGCAATCATTCCTTTTTTTTTTCGTCTGCTACCTGTTATATGTTCACTTGCTCGTTCTTGCATTTGAATAACCATTTCTCACGCGGCATGACTTGTCGAAAATTTGGTAGGCGAGGAAATATAAATTTTACCCTTTCCACAGCAAGCCAGTTAAGAGGTAATAACGTAGAGTGTATATTTAAACCAAGTCTACAGATGGTGAGAATTCGTAGCACGTAGGCACCAGAAGTCCAGAAGTGCGAGAAGAAAGGATGCAGGACCTGCGTTCTGTCTATACCGTATCTATCATTGTCTGCTTATGCGTTAAATCTTCGTTGCGCGTCGCCAATAAGGAACCACTTTTACCCCTGTAAAGTCTACAGGCTAGCAAAACTACTGTACCAAAAGACAAAAAAGTGGGGGGGGGGGGGGGGCTATGGTTCTAATTACAAATACGCGAAACAGAAGTGTGTGGTACGCTCGTAATTTTTTTTAAATACAGACGTCGGGGTTTCACGATCAAGCAAATAAACAAGCATAATCAAGAATAATTGTGTGTAAAGCAGTGGAGGCGACAAGCGAGAAAAATAGATGGAAACAAAATAGCCGCTAAGCGTAGTGTATTTACATGTTTTCGGAAGAAATTGTTAAAGTTCGTTCTTGAACAACTCGATCTTCATTCACTCCGTCTGACATGATCCTAACGGAAGCATCGTTTAAAAAGGTTACACGACCAATAACACGTATGGTGGAAGACAAAGCGATCTTGCAGGTTTTTGGAGATATCTAACTTTAACGCGAAAAGCGCGTACACTTCGTTTATATTTTTACAGGCAGTCAGGCGAAGATCCTCTCGGCCCAAATAGAGCCGTGCGACTCCGACCCCTGCGTCTTGAAGCGTGGCACGAAGCCCAAGGTGTACTTCACGGTTACCTCTGGTACGTTCTGCTTCATTTTTTATTTCTTGGCTCGTTATCTACCTTGATTTACATTAAAAAATTGCATGTACATCTCTTTGGAGTAAGCTTGGTTGTAATCTAATAAGTACAACGCAGTTGCACTACCTTGGTGCAAGTAACAGTACGAAATTTCTGGAATGATATTTCAACAATCAGTGTCGACTTAATAATTGCCCTTAGTGTCCTTTTAACAGCTGCTATAGATGTTCTGTACTATATAGAAATAGCTTAGGCATGGACCATTAAAAATATGTTGGATTCCAAAAGCGTCTCTTGTAATCAATACATGTCTTATGTTAGATAAACTTTCAAACTTGGTGTAGAGATACGCTATCGATTTATGGCACGTTTTTTTTTTCGGGCCTATCTATACGGAAGTTATACTTCTGCCATTCACAATGCAGATGACGTCTGTCTCTCACTGATCTCCCTCATCTTTCAGACTGATTCCAACCAATTAGGAACGGGCAGAAAGCAACGCACTTTGTATTTTTCGACCTTGTTGCTTGAAAACTGTCCTAACCATATTACACCTACACAGCGATTACAACGGGAACTGTTCTTGCTGGATTCAGAGTGAACGTTCTCATTAGCGAGAATAATAGGTCCATGCCCATCGGAGATAAATCACACAGCAATGAAAGTGCTTCTATGTTCTTTGGAGACATCAAAATTTGTTAAGAGTATCGAGCGAACGACAGTTGAAATTCGATTTAGCAAAAGAAGGATGACTTTCGTATTATTTCGATAAATGTGGAAGCTCGTAGAATTGAAGATATTTTTTTCTGTCATTCGAAATGTAAATCGTTACGCAGCCGCAGTGACATTCAAAACCTACAGCGGCTTTGCCGCCTGCTGTGTGAAATGTCTGCGAGGGCATCCCGAGGGCGGCCCGGACTTGGAGCATCTCACTTCCCGCTGATTTTGGGACACACCTAGCCATGTACGGGTGATGCAGGTAGTGTTAGACGGTTACGTGCAGCTGCGGCAGGCTATCGATATGCGAAGACGCGAAGAACCAACGTAGTGAATTGGAGAGAAGTTGAGCGCGAAATTTATAGCGGATACCGTCAATGCTATATGTTGCATAAACCACGAAATAACGTAAGCACCTGCCTTTTGCTGAAAGAAAAACAAACAAACTCGGGAACCCGATTTCGCAGCACATCAGCCCAGAAAACCACACGAGCCCTCCCGCACTACTTCAAGGCTACAGAACTAATGGCGAATTCCGTTGAGGGAACAAGAGTGAGGGGGTTAATGCAGTGAGGAGTGGGAGGCAGAGCACCGAGAGCAGGGTCACATGATCTACTACTGGAGGGGGGTGCGCTCCCCGTAGAGTAGAAAGAGGGTGATAGCGACGTTCAAAGGTCACGTGACTATCGTTGACTACACCTACTCCGCTTTCAGTAGAGGACACTACGAACTGCGCCTGGCTGCTCTCAGCGCTGCAAAAACGCTCTCGCTCTATTTATGGATGATAGCACTCTTACTCTGTTCGACCACCGAAACACGTCCGGCTCTGAAGAGGGCGCTTTCAGCGTGATTTTGAGTGTTCCTGCTCTCCCAATAGAATGCGCCATAAGCGACCACCTGTGATACGCCTGCAGCATAAATGTGCTCTAAAAGGCAGCGATTTTTCTTTTTCTTTCTCTTTTTTTTTTCACTCCATCTTCGCCTCCCAAAGTGTAGGGTGGAAATCTGGATGTAGTCTAGTGACCTCCCTGCATTTGCTGTACTCCTTCTCTCTCTTTCCCTGGGTATCTGCGAGGTGAATAAAAATTTCTTCGTTAGATTGAGAAGTTCGATAAACTGGGTTTTTCACTACCAAATAAGTTTTCACCACACATCGAAAGTGTACACCGTGCCTCTATGCGCGCCACGTTAAAACGAGAGCTGTTCACCTCACCTAACGTGGGAATTCTATATGTATTTTCACTTCTCTGCAAATTTTTTTATCCCCACAAACAAAAATTGGGTAGCCGTCGCCAAGAAAAGGCGGCAAGCCCTTAATTCATTTTAACTTCAGTGATAGTTACGGAAAAGAGGTCTTTGCTGATCAGTCAGGATGAGGGTGGGGTTTGGCCAATTCGAGCAAGAACATGCGTTTTTATTGACGCAAATGAATAAACACACGGAAACACAGCCATACGGTTGCTTGGCTGAAAAAAAAGGGCATGTCTCATTGCAGAATGGTGGTGTTATATATCCAAATATTTACGCCGTTATGCGACATCAACAAGTAGTTATTTGAAATATAATAATAACGATACATGCGAAAGACTGAAGAGCCTACGTGCATGTTCTTTCTCTTGTTTATTGACGTGCACGTGATATTTTGTCCCTTATATTTTTGCGCTTTTTCAATAAAATATTATAGGCATGCGCTTGGGCTGTTCTTCTGTCCATTTACCCCGTTTTCTCGTGCAGTTTCCTTAATAATATACACTCTAAAAATATCGAGTGAAAAGGGGTGCCTTTTTGTCCCACAACAATAATCGTCATCAGGCTTGCGTGCGCTTCCTTTCTTGAAAACTCGGTGCTGGCCACGTTTCTATCGAGAATGAAATGTAACCCTGATAATAGGCATATCGATCGTGACCGCAATGTACTGGGCGCAGGGCATAGCGCAAAGATGGAACGTAATATATAGATGACGATTATTGTTGTGTGACAAAAAGACACCCTTTTTGCCCGCTCTTTTTAAGAGTGTATGTGGGAACGCTAGCCTAACACTTTTTGTAGCGGCAGATGGTTTTCTAAACTCTAAGCCGAAATTCGGCAAAGTTGGACTAACTGCAGTCGTTAAACCAACGGGCGAACAGTTTGTCTAACAAGGACTAAATGTGTGACTAAACGCCCGGCAATGTAGGGACCAACGGGAAGGGTAACTGCACCGAAATCGCCTTCCGTCGATGCTATTGCGCATTATCTGCTACCAAGGTATTCATAAAATTTCTAAGAACAACACGCTTGCACAAGCGGCCGTATCGAGTCATAATGATATCAACGATCTATCCGGGTGAATAAAGAAACATATGCTGATTTACAACTTGCCGCTGTAACTAAGCGATGGTATGATAAACGCTCCGAGCGCTTGCTGTTTAGGTATATACTTCAAAAGTGCGGCGCATTCGCAAGTCTCTACTGCATCGAATGCTAACTTACGAGAGTGACGCTGAGGTATGTACGAGATACTTTCTTTCGGAAAGAAAGCATGACAACAAAATCACGATGGCGGTCCGGTGTAGCGGGGGCTCGCCTCTTATCACATCAAGCCACTTTATTTGGATATTTCGTTGGTTCTTCTTCACCTTTACGTCATAGACGTGTATTTCACGCAGGGACAGTGGTGCAATAAACTTTTTTCTCTTAGGCTGACGCCGACTATAATATTTTCCACCTAGTGCGCTTGATGTAACACAGAGAACCAGACCACACTTTTGTTTTGTTTTTCGTCGATTGAATCGTTTCCTGCGCCAACTCCCAGATCAGGACACCGAGAAGGCCACGCTGGATGCTACAATCGGCGTGTTCGGCCTCGAAATTTCGGTGCCCGGCCTGGATAAGGACCTGTGCGAGAACATGGTGAAGTGTCCCATTAGCAAGGGCCAGACCTACTCCGGCGTCATGGAAGTTTTCGTGCCGCTATTCGCACCAGCCGTAAGTGAACTTCGGAGGTCATTCATGGTCGCACAGACGGCGTTACCTTTTGTTATGACATTTTCCTGCTGGTCTATAGTCGCTCAGTAAGAGCAGCCTGGTTTGTTTGGCTATAAAACAAATAAATTCAAAGCGCACAACCACATCAAGGCAAAAAAAAACACGCAAGAAAAGCAGGTGTCTTAGCGCTTATGTGTCTTACGTGTTTTTTGTGCTGATCTTATTGCATACTTTGAATTTATTCGACATGTCATACAATCACGCCCAAACCACCACAATTGTGTTTGACACCACATTAATAACGCAAATAGCCTTACATGCCTCATAAAAGCGAAAATTGAACAAAAGTACGTATCGCCAATATCAATGACGTTACTGCGACGTCACCACATGACGTAAAGATGTGCCGATCACAGAGGCAGTCAAAAATCCCGGTGACAGGCAGAAACTTTCGCAATGAGGAGGGAGGGGTGGTGGAATCAATACGTTACGGCTTTTAGCTTGTAAGTACGTATACATCTTTACGTTACCGTTTTAGCGGTTTACGTTTACTTTGTTACCGGGACCCGAGGTTTAATGCGAATGCGTAAGTAATCCTATGAGTTTTTTTTTTTTTTTTTTTTGCTGCGAACGCATCTACAACAAAAGTCTCAGTAGCACCCACTAAGCCTTATTTATTCGCCGCGTAACATGCTGTGTATGAAATGGAATATTGGTGCACCTTTTTAAGATGAAAGAAGCCTCGAATCTAGCTAAGCACCAATAAATACTAATAATCATAATAATATATATAATAATAATAATAATAATAAATAATAATAATAATAAATACTAATAATAATAATATAATATTATTATTATTATTATTATTATTATTATTATTATATTATTATTATTATTATTATTATTATATTATTATTATTATTATTCATTTTATTATTAATATTATTATTATTATTATTATTATTATTATTATATTCCTACTACGACTACTGCTAGTAATTACTAATGATAATAATGATATTAATTAAACTACAGCCACTCTCGTTATACTGTTCTATATTTCACAACTATTTTCCCTCGAACCACAAGTCGGTGGATGAAGCGGAAGTGCTGCGCACGAAACAAGAATGTCGCTCGAGGTGCATGCCACAATGCTTCTCATTGGGCTCGTGGCTTCCCACGATCTGCACCGCCAGGGGTGCCCGTCCAGTGCCGATCATGGAGGTCATGTTAAACAACACATATTTCAGACGGTTTGTGTAAACACACATACAGTGGTACTCGCTACCTTAACACTGAAATATCGGCCCTTTATGACGGCCCGAGAAAGCACTGCAGATGAACTTTTCTACCGTTTTCAATAACGTCTCTAAGCTGAGGTATAAACAATATTAACCTACTCGCTTATAAACTTCAATGAACACACGTGCTTAAAGGTTCTGAACCCTTCTAGTCACGCCAAATGTCCTTGACAAAAGCGAAGGCGAGGATATACCTTTACGTCATCGCGAGGATTTGACGTTGTGCTAAATAAGAGCTTGTTTTTTTTCCCTCTCCCTCTTCGCAGATGAAGACTCACGTCTCACTCAAGGTGGTCGGTGACAAGGGCGTTAGGTCTGCGCTAAGACACCTATTATGGTTGAGTAACACCAAACTACCTGGCTTTTCTCCCACACTGGCATCCACCTGTCAGAAGCCAAGAGCACTGCACCATAACTTAAATGCCAACTTAAGATGACGTTTTCCGTAGGCTCTTCCGCCTACCCCTCTCCCACCCCATCCCAGTAGGAGACCACTCTTTCCAGCAGAGTCCTTCATGACTGCAGAGACGACATAATTACTGCCACCAACCGGGATCGCAGAAAAGAATGGGGCTGTGGACAGAGAGCTTCACAGAAACAACTAATAAAGTTTCCTTCTTCTACTGCAGTGGACAATAATCTTCCATTATATTCCGTGAAAACGACCTTACTGCCATTTATATGATTTGACACCAAGGTTTAAAAAAGATTGCTTGATTGGACGCTCACGCAATGCTTTTGCCAGCAGTAGTGAAGCCAGCTTTTGCCATTCAAAGATCTCAGAAACATGCTATTTTCTGGTGATGCCCACTTGGACATCAAGTGGCTTGCATTTGTTAGTCTAAAAAAATAAGGTTGTTTCTCTCTCTCTCTCTCCCTTGTTAGTTGAAAGGCTACGGGTAATTATGAAGAAACATAGTTGTTTCCGAAGAAGAAACAATCCGCGGAGACTCGTATACGATCGCTTAATCTCCAATAAAATTTGCCTTCAATTCAAGGATTTGCCTTGAATTCAGGCTTACTAAAGAAAACTAGCAACGCAAGGACGCACTTGAAGCACTATCTTACCCGAAAGGTTGCTACGTTGAACTCGTTGCACCGTGCGAAGGAAACGCTCTTTCGCGATCGCTGAACGCCAACTGCTCATCATGCCCTAGTAAGATGGCTGCCGCAGCCGCCATCTTACGGTTGGCATGCCTTCACTTGTGGGAAAGAATTTCACTCCAGCAATTTTTGTAAACCTCCTGGTTCGACACGCAGAATCTGTGTAGCATGGACCCGGACAAGAAAAGGAAAGACAAGAACATGAGCAATGGTTTATTACTGGATGAGTCGTAAACACCATCATCGGTTCTAGGACTGATAGCTTCCTAGTGGTTTTTTCGGTGATTTTTTCGAGATGGCGACCTCATGGGCTCTTCGTGTGACGTGGACTTGCATGTCCGCAGCAAAGCTGGCCTGCAGGATCTGCCGCTTTCGTGAGCCTACAAACTTCTGTATTTCTTTGGTTGATGTGCTTGACAGGCAGCCTCAAAAGATGTTTTCCATTGGGACTCTCTCCACAATTCTAGCAATGAATTGTTTGAATTCATCCGAGTTGATGTGGTGCATTCTGAGAGGATTTGGGAGTGTGTCGGTAAAGAGTTGTCCTCATACATTAACTTCAACTTTGGTAAGTATTTTGTGATGCGGCGGTATGGGTTGCCTACCTAGTTGGAAAACTGCACGTGTGTTTCTATTTTAGACGTCACCAGTCGCGCTGATCGCGGCGATAAACGGTGGCCTCATGGGGTCGTACCAGCGAGCGAGTTAGCGCAGTGCGCTCGAAAGATGTCTGGTTTATTGACGCGTGGACCAAGCATGCACTATGCCTCCCGCTCAAGCAACGTGTTTTGTACTTATCCTAGACCTCGCTGTGCGCCTCGGTTCTTGAAGGAATTGAACACTACGTCGTGTGCCTTACCAGACGCTGCGAGCAGCTGGTTACGTAAGTGGAGAGTTTCAGTACTAAAACTCTCTATTAGAGAGTTTTAGTACTGAGTACGCTGCGTACGTGGCGGCGTTGCGTACGTAAGGACGCCAACGTTCTGCGTAGTGCGCATGCAGCAGACCGCAACGCGCACGTATCGCATTACGTACGCACGCATGAGATGCGTCCCGTGCGTATATATGAGGTGATCGCGCCCGCTCTCGAACAAGTTCGCGACAGCACGAGGCTTCGTTTTGCAAAATGGCGCCATCGAAGGCAAGCACCGACGGCTCTGTGGCTTAAAAATAAGGCAATAATCTGGCTATAACACTTGGATTGGCCCACACTGGCTGTCAACAACACGTGCTTCTTTTTTGATCTACCAGATGCGCAACACGCTTCACGCTCGTTACGTACGCGGGTACTACGGCGTACTAAAAACCGATTAGTGGCAAACGACGCCACGTAACGCAAGGCGCTTGCGTGATGCAAACGTAGCACAATTCCGCAGTACTAAAGCTCTCTAATATGGGGTCCAAGATACTAAGTCTCCAGGCTGCGTTTGTGTTGGTTGCTTTTGGGTTCGGAGGATTAGCAGAGTGTGAAAATGGGTCAAACGCAGGCTGGGTCAGGCCAAACGCACGGGACGCCACCATTGACCAAATTAAAAATTATGCGAGACGCCGGTCATACGTCACCCACGGCTTGCGCTGCGTCTGGTTCGTCTCGCCGGTGACCCCAAGATGCCTAGAGGGCCACGCTAGTTTTTCGATTTTAATGCGAAACATTTCTTAGCCAACTTCGGCGACTTTGAGCGTATCTATCTATTCAATCTAGCCGCCTACAACTTTTAGCTCTCCTGGCCGCTTTCGATAGGGTATCGATACCAAACTTGGTATAGCATAGCCTGACTCTATTAAACAAATTTGGCTAGTCATAACGTAAAATCATGACATGTATGGCATGATGTCATGATTACATTTAATCGTCCTGCAGGTCTTGCGGTGGTTTTGTTCACATGGCAATGTTGCAAAAATGGTATGTATGGAATGATGCATGGCGAGCACAAGCGACAGACCCTGACATAAAAATCATGACTTGCGTGTCATGCTGAGCGTGACTACATGCCACGATCATGAGGCGCTGGACGTGAATGGATGATCAAGGTATAATACTGGTGCAAAACTCATAAACGTGAGATGCATGTGATGCAACAATATGACTATACATGCTACGCTCTTGATGCGCTCGCGGCCGTTTCGCGAGATTCACACGTATCAAACTCGGTCACGCGACGCTAATGGATGACATAGGTAAATGACACATCCAAACATGATAATTATGAAATGCGTGTCATGTAACAACATGACTACCTGCCACACTGATGATGCACTCTGACCATTTCACTAGCTTCCCATATGCCAAATTGGTATACGCGATGACAATGTAGATGAAGGTATGTTACTGGTGCAAATATGACAATCATGAGATGTGTGTTATGTGAAAACTGACTACGTGCGACGGTCAAGGCGCCAATACATTTCGACGTGAACAGTGCGCGTGCTCACCGGCGTTCATTTCGTCGCACCTCGCCAGCGTTGCCACGCCAGGCGCCGTTCCTGCCATATACTCGCAGGGCGCGCGCCGCACTACGTTCCTTTGACGCATGCGCGTTTCAGGGCATCCAGCGTCCCACCGTCACGAAAAGAGGGAGACGCAGTGTTGGCTGGGTAACACATCGGCGAGAGATTGCAGCATGTCGCAATTCGCGCTGGCTGCCGTCGGGCTGCGCCGACGGATGCTGTGGCGCCTGCCATCAGACTATAGAGTGCTCGCGTTTTGCTAACGTAGCGTCGCTGTGCCCAGCGTGCACGCGCGTCAACGCTACATTGGAGTATGTTGGGCCCTTCATGATGCACTCGCGGCCGTTTTGATAGCTCCTCATACACCAAGTTTGCTGTTACGTGACGTCAATGGATGACGAAATATATGACTGGTGCAACATGATAATCCTGACACGCGTGTCTAGTAATTTATTGATTGATATGTGGGTTTTAACGTCCCAAAGCCATCATATGATTTATGAGAGACGCCGTAGTGGAGGCTTCGGAAATTTCGACCACCTGGGATTCTTAACGTGCACCCAAATCTGAGCACACGGGCCTACTTCATTTCTGCCTCCATCGGAAATGCAAGCCGCCGCAGCCGGAATTCGAGCCCGCGACCTGCGGGTAAGCAGCCGGGTACCTTAGCCACTAGACCACCGCGGCGGGGCACGCGTGTCTTGTAAGAACATGACAACATACCACGCTTAGCGTGCTCGCGGCGGTTTCGCTAGCTCCACATGTACTAAATTTGGTATCACGCGATATGAATAGATGACGAACGTAAACGACACATCCAAACATGATATCATGACACAGAAGTAATGTACGGCATCATTTACCTCCACCTCGTAACGTTGTGCTGATTTTAAAGTGAGATATCAACATTTTCATTCGTGCTTCGAATATCATCGATTCCCACTGTACGCTGGGATCTGCCAATTTTTCGAGTTCGATTGAGTGTACAGCCGCCTATATTTTTCACTATCGTGAGCAGCTGCGACTTTCTTGTGTCAGTGCCATATGATGAAAATAAGCTACAAAAAATTGTTTTGTGGGCTTACATTATGGCAAGCTTTTTTTTTTTCAATCTTAATCCTGTCGTATTGTAAAGGTGTATATGCACGAGAAACTGCCACTCGTGCATGCTATAGTAATAGTTTGGTCAGCAGTACCTTCGATATTACGCCAACAAAGTTGATCCTGGCACAGCCACATTTAGCGTGCCTCATGTTACTATGATATATAGGGTTTTAGCATCCCGAAGCCACAATGTCACCATGATGAATGTCGTAATGGAGGACTACGAAAAAATCTGACAATACCGTGTTCTTTCGCGTGCACTCACATCTCCCAGTATGTGGGCATCAGCCATATCGCTTCTATCGAAATTCGGTCGTCGATTCCGGGATCGAAGCCTCGACCTTCGAGTCAGCAGTCCAGCACCTTAGCTACTGTTCCACCCAGACGGACACCCCTCATAAGTGGATTGCGGCACGTAAAAGCGCTCATTATTTAATTAACTCGGAAGGTGCGGCGGACGCTCGTGATCAGTGCTCGTGTGAATCTGACGGCGGTCTTGCAGCGATACGTTCGAGAATATATTCGTTTTCTCTAAAGCCAAAGCAGGCTTCCTGCGCGCAAGTGCAGGAAATAAATCTTACGCCCATAATACATTCTTCGAAACGCCGCGTTATCGTAGCGCTTTCGCAGATTTCTGCATTTCACTTCGGTTAAGCGAAGGCGACACGCCAACTACGCAGTTGCTGTCGAAGAACATGATGTAGCTTCAAAGCTCGGCCCG